AATTGTTATCCAGCTATAAATGGTTTAACTTGTCTCAAACCAATTTTCATTCAAGAGCTGCTCTCACTGGCGTGTGCCACTTGTTGGTATGATGCCTACTGCAACATACTACACAGTAAATGTTAAACTGGCCAAGTTGGCTCAGTTTTTTTTTTTTTCCCCAAGCAATTCAAGTTTTAACCTGGAGCTCAGTTTCACCCTTGCCAATGCTCTTGAGCTATTTTTTGCCAGGGATAAAGCATTCCAGTCATTGTTCCTAATGGGTTGTCTGCTGCCAACTAACAACCACTTAAGTTCCCAGGTATCATCAGGGGAAATCTTTTCAGAAACTCAGAGGGTGACGAAGATTTACAAACTCAAAAATCTGGCATTTCTCAATCCAAGTTGGTGAACAGTTTAAATCCCCATTTGAAGTTACAGAAAATAGTACCCGATATTTTCCACTTCTAATTACAGAAAGTTCTCTTGCCAAAATCTTCAACTCTAACCATAAAACCTAATTCTGCTTTCTGATGAAATAGTTAGCAAGGTTTATTTACGATGTGTGTGCTTAGTAAAAAAAAAAAAAATACAGCCAGATATACTCTAACTATTCAACAGTAACGTAAACACCAATGCTTTAAGAAATTATTTAAAGGTTTATGAAGAGCTGTACTGATTCAAATATGTTCATTACCTGTACATTATCTGGGACCACTTAATTTAGGATTCACATAAAAAAAAAACTCTGTACAGCCTAGGACAGACTGATACACTTCCCTGTTTTTAGTAGAAGCATTCTAAAATAACTCAAGTGAAATTCAGAAATTCATACAGGTCTTAAAAATAATGATAAAAACATATTTACAACCGTGTTTTGTCTGTTTGTAATCAGTAAATCTTTATTTAGAAGGAATACATGGGACTCTTCCGCACTACAGTAATTTCCTGCTTCCAGTAAAATTTGGTGAATGTTACAACCAATTCTATCTCATTGAATATTATTAATTAAGATACAAAGAAATCATGTCTTATACAAGGTTGGGTGGCGTGTGCCTGTTATCACAATACTTAAGAAACAGAGACAAGACGATCATAAGCTCAAGGCCAGTGTGGCTTTGCAACGGTGGAGCCATTTTTAGAAAAATAAAACAATTACTAGACATCCCAGCTTAACCTTGAAGTGTAAGTAGTTCACTAATTTTTTTACAAATGTTCTTAATTTCCAGTTTGTCATATTATTTTGTGAAGAAAAAATATTGAGTTTAAGGTATAATCCAATAAAAAGACTATTGCAGTCACAACTGTAGTCTCTATAAATAGCTAAATACACTTTAAAAACTAAGTTTAATCACTGAAAGTTGACAACAATATCAAATGGATCAGAGTTTCATTATTTACTTCTTTTATATGAGAAAAAATGGTTGCCTAGCAACCATTAGCATACACTTTAAAAAACTGAATAGTTTGTTGGGAAACAAAAGAATCTAGATTTTCGATCATTTTTAGTCACCTTACACAAAAGTCTTATTAGCAAAATGTGCAACAATATCCAAGTTTCTGTCACAGTTTATCTTATTTTGGAACCACAATAAACAATCCATTCCCTAGGAACATGAGATCTTTTGAAAATGGTACTCTTCTAATTAAACATACAATTAGAACATTTAAGCAGATTAATGCTAATTATAATCATTAAAATTTTTAGGTAGGCTTTCTTTCATTTACATGAAAGCTTAAAGTTAAAAGCCCAAAATGTTTGAGGCCATGTAGTTTTTTTTTTTTATAATTTTCTAGAGAAAACTTGCCAAATGTTTCAATGAAATGATTCATTCCATTTGTGATAAATTATCTAGTAGAATAGGAATAGCTTTGTGTCTGAATCTATAAAATTATTTGGCTATCTCTTCATGGTTTTGATTGTATCCAATGTCAATTAATTTCTCTTGAGTATTGAGTTTTATGCAACTCTGGCTTACATCATATGACGAATAAGGAATAAAGTAATGACTGTCTTTCTAGGTTGAGGAGAAATTATAACTTAGTGCAGAAAACTAAACAAACAACTGTATTACAGGTCTACACTATGCCAGGCACTCTCCTAGGCAAGAAAACATAATGATGTCTAGACAGATATGACTCCACCCTCCACAAGCTCTGGAGTTAGTTAGCTAAAAGTTATTATGCTTCATCTTCTGCAGCTCCGTTTACATTATATTTATGTCTAAAACTCTCAAACATATACTTAATCTGAACAGTAATAGGACTATCTCATGTTGGCCAATCTTGGTTGATTTAACACCACTCCAAAAGTGAAGAAAAGTAACAAGACACGCAAAAAATTAAAATTAATATGCAAACTTCGTCAAAATTTTGTAATCCCAAACCCCAACCATGTTTTCATCAATCTGTATTTCCTCCAGTTGAAAAAATTCAACCATGCTAAATTCATCTCTTCATTATGTTATAGATCATATGACACACAAATGTGCTATTCAAATTCATCTTTTTGTTTTACAAATTACATACACATATATTCATAAATCCACAAAATGTGTCTCATAGAATATATTGCAATTAATTCATTAGTCCTTATCAGAAAAATACTATCAATCACATTCTCTACTAAATAGCTGACTGACTCATCATTTAGTGAAAAGCTTTGTTGTTAGCTGCTGAAGTGGGGTTATTTAAACCATATAAATACTAGTCAATAAAATGCATAAGCTTAACCATGAAACTAATTTTCATCTGCTGTTTCATCTTGGGATAGTGAACAGACAAACCCAGTAATAAGACCTCATATAAACTGCCACATTATATTAAATCTATTTCAAGGCCCAACGTGACTTACTGAGTTCTCAGTTTCAAGCACTCATATATACTCATACTTTTATGACATTTTTTATGTCATTGAATTTTGCTGTGCTTTCTCTCTCTCTCTCTCTCTCTCTCTCTCTCTCTCTCTCTCTCTCTCTCTCTCTGTGTGTGTGTGTGTGTGTGTGCGCGCGCGCGCGCGTGTGTGCGTGTGTGTCTTACTTCAGG